TTTGCTACAAAGCCAAAACTTTCAAGAGCACAAACATAAGCTATTACTAAAACACTGAATCCAGAGTTTCCATTTTCCAAAATGAAAAGAATGTCTGTTTTATTTTTCCAATTTATTTATCATCAATGCCTCTAAATTCACATAATAATATCTAGTATTTATATAGCATCTACTACGTGCCAGGCACTGTGCTAAGCACTTTACAAATATTATCTCATTTGATCTTCACACAACCATGGGAGGTAGGTGCTATTATTATTTACATTTTGCAGTTAAGGAAACTGAGACAGACAGAGGTTAAGCAATGTGCCCGGGGTCACACAGCTAGTAAGGACATGAGGCTGGATTTAAGTTCAGGTCTTCCTGACTTCAGGCAGAGGTCTCTATCCACTGGGCCACTTAAGACTTGAAACAAAGCCATTCTACATCAAGGAGTATCATTTAACATTTCCTGGTGTCTTATATCTCCTCTTAAAGTTAACTAAAAACAACTTCTAACTCTTGATCTTCATCTGCTAAAAAGATATAAATAATAATAAAGATAACAGTTGGCATTCATATAAGCGCTTTTAGGTTCATAAAGGGCTTTACATATGTTACTCAAGGGATCCTCGAGACAACCCTATGCTATAAGTGCTATTATTATCCCCATTTTACAGTTAGGAAATGGAGTTTGAGAGGGGTTAAATGACTTGCTGAGAGCCACATCGCTTTTAAGTGTCTGAAGCAGGGACTAAAAGCAGGTCTTCCTGACTCCAACTCCAACATTCATTCTATTCTCTGCACCACCTAGATGTTACAAGAATTATTCCTATAACAAAAGAGATTTTAGCACACCAAGTCTTGCAGTGGTTCTCTTTATAAAAATTAATATCTTTTCTTCTTACATCACCTACATTTCCCAATATAATCCCACTCCTCCCTCACCCAGAAAGTCATCCCTTATAACAAATTTTAAAAGGATCAGTAAAATTGATCAACACATCAACCAAGCCTGAAATTTTATGCTGATATTCTTCAGTCAAGTCACCCTCTTTAATTCTAGTTTGTCATTATAATTTCAAAACATTCAGCTTCGATTTGTTATTGTTATAGTCGCTGCATATATTGTTTTGCTGGCTCTGCTTACTTCATTCTGAATTAGTATATGTCTTCCTATGCTTCCCTGAATTCTTCAAATTCCATTACATTCACATACAACTAGTTCACCCATTTTCTAAAGTCAAGGAGACCTAAGTTCAAATCTAGCCTCTGATACTTACTAGCTATGTGATCCTGCATACATTCATATACTAATTTAGCCATTTCCCCCAGCATCTTTGTTGCTAGTTAAAAAGTGGTACAAAAAGATTTTGGTACATATGAGGCCTTTCTTTTTCTTTCATTGGCTTTCTTGGAGTAGATACCTACTCAACAGTGAGATCTCTAAATGAAAGGGCATGGACATTTTAGTCACTTTCCTAGCATAATTTCAAACCGCTTTTCCAACAACAGCTGGATTAGTTCACAGTTCCACCAACATTTTACTAGTGTGCCCGTCTTTCCACAATCCTCCCAACACTGGCTATTCCCATCTTTTTTCATCTTTACCAATTTGCTGGGTATGTAATGATGTTTTAAAAATGATGCTCAGTAAGTGCCTGATTAATGCTTTTAGATTGAATAAAAATAAAAATAAGCACATAAGAAGAAAAATTAATATTACTGAGATTTTTTTGGAAAATGCCAATATTTATTACAAACCCAAAACAGTTACTGTATTTGTTGTTTTTTTTTAAAAGGTAAATACATCAAGCTTTTCTTTCAGAAGGTTACAAATCTAAACAAAAATCTAATCTTAACAACAACCAAAATATACTCATTAAGTCCCTCCCCTATGGATAACAGAACAAGATAGGACTTGGATATTCAATCCAATATACTTCAGTAATCTACAATCTCATCTTGTACGTACTACTCCCATCCACACAGATCATCACTTAGTAGATGACCCCAAGTTGATGTGGCAAAAAAAAAAAAAGTTATCAAACTGTGATCAGCTGGTGTTCTGATCTGTCTCATCTTAGTTAGCTAGGCTACAGCAGAGCTGACACCATGGCCTCTATAGTCAGTCCAACAAGCATTTATTAAGCACTTCATGCCAGACACTCTCTCTGCTAAGGGTTGTGGATACAAAGAAAACAAGGAGGGCGGGAGGAGGGGTGTAAATCACTGGCCCAAGAAGCTTACATTTGAAGGAGACAACATCTAAATAACTAGGTATATACAAATACTGTATGATATATACAAAGGAGATGTGAGGGTAATCTCAGAGACAGGCAAGAGCAGCTAGAGTGGATAGGGATGGGGAGAGGCCACTTCCAAAAGGGGGAATATGAGTTTAGACTTTAAGTCAAGGAAACTAGTGGGTGAAGCCGGTATATAACTTTTAAGAACCCAGGATTATGGCTTTGGTAGAGGTCTTTAGAATAGGGTTCAAAGTGTACACGTAACCAGGAACACATTTACTGTGTCAAATGTAGCTATCCTATAAAATTTCACACACGACTTAAATGACCACTTGCAAACACTATTCATTGTTCTCAACTTTTATAATCATGTTCCTTTGTATAGAGTTGTATACAGCTCTACTTCAATCTTCCTGTGCATTCGCATTTATTAAGTGCTTACTATGTGCCAGGTACTGTTATAAGTGATAGAAATAGCAAGAAAGAAAGAAAAAAAAAACAGTCCTGGCTCTCAAGAAGTTCAATCTATAGGAGTGATTATTCCTTGAAAGTTGTCATTTTTCCCTCTTTAGCTTTTTTTTTCTTTTTTTACTTTTAGGCAACTGGGGTTAAGTGACTTGCCCAGGGTCACACAGCTAGTAAGTGTCAAGTGTTTGGTCTGAGGCCAGATATGAACTCAGGTCCTCCTGACTTCAGGGCCAGTGCTCTATCCACTGGGCTACCTAGCTGCCCCTCATTAGCTTCTTTCTCACTAGTCCTATTCCTACTAGTCCTTTCCCTCTTTTCCAATCCCAGGTACCACCCCCACTGAGGGCATTTCTCTAAAGTCATTGGGCCTAGTGGTATTCACAAAAATAGCTGAGAAATTCTTATGGACAGCATGCTTTAGAAAAAAAGAAAAAGATTTTATATGCAAAGAGAACATTTCTGATAACTGCCTTTCACCAGGAATCTGGTATTTGAGAGAAAATGAGGAAAGCCAACAGTCAAATGTTTTTCTTAAATTAAAATGGGGGGCAGCAGCTATGTGGCACTGTGAATAAAGCAAGTTCAAATCTGGCCTCAGATACTTACCAGCTGTGTGACCCTAGGCAAGTCTGATTGCCTCAAAAAGAAAATTAAAATGGATATTTGGGTGCTCTGAAATCCAAATGTGTGACTTACAGGAATCTCTTAGTAAACTGCCCTAGACCAATCTCCATCTTTTTTCCATTTTTTGCTTGTTTTCATTAGGGAAGAAACTAAAGGAGAGATTTGAAAAGTGGGAAACATGAATTTCAATACATATTATGAAGACAAGGTTATTTTTAATCCTAATTAAGACACATTTATGTTAGGAGCACTTTGGGATTTAAAATTAAATTGCAATTCCATTTTCTATGATATATTAGAAATAAGCTGGGTAAATGTCTTCAGGAAATGTGGTTGCTACACAGCAGACCTCCAAATGTGTCAAAAGGGCACTAAGCATGGGAGTCATCCCCACCAGATAACCATTTCTATCTACAAGGTCACTTTTTACTCCTTCACCACACAACAGGCCAAAGTCATGCACAAACAGGCCAAAGTCATGCACAAACAGGCCAAAGTCATGCACAGACAGGCCAAAGTCAGGTTAATCTTCACCGTTTCCTGGACAGAAAGTCAACAGGAAATTCACCAATTCTATTAGTAATAAATGATAAGAGAAATACATGTAACTGTTTCCTCAACTTGGTTTTTCCAAGGACAAGAAGCCAAACACCTCAATTGGGTGAAGTCAATTGTCCAAATCCATTGCCTAGTTTGAATGTCCTACTACTATGATGGGGGGGGGGGTGGGAAATGTTGTAATGTTTTGTATAAAAACAGGAAAAGTTTATTTTCAGAAATAAATCTATTGTTATAGGCTTAAAATGTATCTCAAATTGGTAAAATGTCATCCAATGGAAAATTGTCATTCTGCCACTCCAAGTCTTGTCATTTAAGGAAGGCTTCCCCATACTGATCCCAAAGTCAAAAGAAGAGTTAAAAGGAATAACTGGGCTGGGAGAGGGTGAGCTTCCTTCTGCAAAAAACTTTTCCCAGTCCTTAATCTTCGTGCCTTCCCTTTGTGTCTATCCCCAGTTAATCCGGCATATATGTTGTTTGTACATAGTGGTTTACATGGTGTGTCCCCTATTAAACCGACACCTCCTTAAAAGCAGGGACTCTCTCTTTGCTTCTCTGAGTATCCAGGTGCCTGACACAGTGGGCGCTTAATAAGTGTTTGTTGACTGACTGCTTCCAGTAGACTGAATTAAATTCACCTAAAGGAGCTGCTCCTGTTTCAAGGCTCCCATCCAGCCTCCCAGAAAGACGACTGAAATGCATCACCGACCTTTAAGAAAACATAAGAAACTGAACACCACCACATTCCCCCCCTCCTCCCCCAGGGAGGCCACGGGCTTTGAGTAAGTGAGTAATTTAATTACAAAGCAGGAACAAGCACAGGGCTGTGCGCTTTCTTCCAAAGAAACAGCTGGATATCGGGTTGCATTTTGAATAAGGAGGGCTTTTTAAAAAATAAAATAAAAGTAATTTGAAAACAGGAAAATCGGCCGAAGCTGCCAGAAACGCCACGTCGCAGGGGTCGAGGGAGGAAATGAAGAGAGGGATGGATGGAGGGGGCGGCTCCACACTCAGGTACAAACTACTACAACCTCCAACTTCTCTTCTCCTCCCTAAGGTCGCAAATGGCAGCTAACCGGGCTCCTGTGGCCAAACCCCAGCTGGGCACGCCTAAAGGTTTACCTGCCAAAAATCACAACACTGCCATCCTGAGTGGAAGTCATCTCCTACGCTGGAGGGGGTCACAGCGGGGAGCCCGATGCCTGAGGAGACGCTGCTGCGGGAGCAGGAGGAGGAGGTGGTGCAGACCTGCCTGCCGGGTTCTGCGACAGGGGCTCTTAAAGGGCTCCGAGAGCAATGTAACTCACACGCTCATTGGCTCCTTCCTTCTCTTCTCCGGGTAGTGAGGACTACCCTGAAGCGAGGTGAAAGGAGTCCTCCGATAGGCTGAGGGAAGTGAGCGCTTGGGGAAACGTGACTACAGTTGGGGAGACCTTCGCCAGAAAGCTTGCGGGCGGGCACGCTAATCAGCACAACTATATTACTTAACCCCATGGTGAAGGAAGGGCTGAATTGCTGGGTGGGGCTGGTGAAGTTCATAAATCCATTGGATGAAGTAACGTCTAAAAAACTGTATGAGGACGGAAAGTAACAGGATCAGTCAATTGTTTGGGCAATTTCTTCTTTCCTCCTTTAAAAAAAAACTCTTATTTTCCAACCTTAGAATTTAAAACCAAGTTGTTTTAGTTTGCCAGGTAAAAGCCTGGTCGTTTTTGCACACGGATTGTTCACAAATGATTTAAACGGACGAAAAGGAAAGCTGATACTGTCTTTCTGTTCAGCCACCCCTCACAGCATTTGCATTGCAACTGTTACAGACCTTCAAATTAAGTAGTGTTTATTGCTGGACTTCCCGGGGGGGGGGGGGGGGAATTCCGTTTTATCAGTCTTTAAGACTAAAAGTTTCCATGAAATTCCATAATGTTGTATGAGCAGAAATGGAAAGAGCCATGTGATTTTCAAAGCCTACTTCTTCAAAATGGAGACTTGATTTATTTTTAAGTGAGAAGACTAACTTTAATTTGCTTTCAAAGTTCATCAGTTCTTTCTCTGTAGTTAGATAAGCATTTTTTTTTTATGAGTCTTATGGAATTGTCTAGGGTCGTTGTATTGATCAGAGTAGCTAAGTCTTTCACAATGACCATCATTACAATATTCCTGTTACTGTATACAATGATCTCCTAGTTCTGCTCATTTTCGCTGGGTAGTTGATCCTTGGTTGTAATAGAAGCTCCTTTGCCTTACAGAACATCATGTTCCACGCCCTAAGGTCTCTTAATGTAGAAGTTGCAAGGTCCTGTGTGTAATCCTGACTGTGGTTCCATGATATTTAAATTGTTTCTTTCTGGCTGCTTGCAGTATTTCCTCTTTGACCTGGTTATTTTGGACTTTGGCTATTATATTTCTTGGCGTTTTCAATTTGGGATCTCTTTCAGGAGGTGATCAGTGGATTCTTTCTATGGCTGTTTTACCCTCAGGTTCTAGGACCTCAGGGCAGTATTCCTTGAAGATTTCCTGAAAGATACTGTCCAGGCTCTTTTTTTCACCATTATTTTCAGGTAGACCAATAATTTTAAAATTGTCTCTCCTGGATCTATTTTCCAGGTCAGTGTTTTACCAATGAGGTATTTTACATTTTCATCTATTTTTTCATTCTTTTGTTTTTGTTTGACTGATTCTTGCTCTCTCATAGAGTCATTAGCTTCCATTTGCCCAATTCTAATTTTTAACTAATTGTTTTCTTCTATTAGATTTCGTGCCTTGTTCCCCTTTGGCCAATTATATTTTTTGGGAATTTTTTTTCTTCAGTGTACTTTTTTCCAGTCGGCCAATTGTATTTTTTAAGGACTTGTTTTCTACAGTTAATTTTTGTTCTTCCTTTTGCAAGCTATTGACTCTCTCTTGCATACCTCTCATTTCTTTTCCCATTTTTTCTCCTACCTCTCTCATTTGACTTTTAAAATCCTTCTTGAGCTCTTCTAAGAAGGCTTTTTGGGCATCAGACCAGTTCACATTCCCTTTTGAGGCTCCAGATGTGGGTTTATTGACAATGTTGTCCTCTTTAGAATTTCTGCCTTGATCTTCACTCTTCCCATAATAAGAATCTTTCATACATTTCTTTTTACTCATGGTGTTCGCTTATTTCCTGGCCTTTAAAGAGATTAAGCTCTCCTGCTGAGGAGCAGAGGGCACTGACTCAAGCTTCTTGTTTTGGGAGCCTAGGGCCTGGGCGCTGGCTTTGTGTGCTAGGGCTTCCAATGTTGGCAGTTGGAGGCTGTAGGTTTCTAGCAGCTTACCTGGAGTTGGACTGAAATCAGCAACACTGCAACTCTAAGGGTAGGATTGGGTAGTGTGGCTCCTCGAGATTTCCTGCTCACCTGGGCCTTTCCTTCCTTTCACTTTCTTCAGCTCCTTTCAGATAGATGTTGTAGGGTGTTTGTCTGCCTGGGGCCCCATGGAGCTCTGCTTCCCTTAATTTTGCTGAGGAGCTGGCAGAGCCGTTTGCTGTAGAATGCCAGGCACCTGGTGGTTTTGCAAGCTGGTTTCCACCAGTTCTCCCTCCCTCAGTGAGGCACTCGGAGGTCCAGGTGTTGGTGTTTGCCTGCTCCACCACCTAGGCTTCAGGATCTCCTCCTGGTATGCTGAGGTGGGCCTTTCCACTAGCTTGCTGAGACATCTCCCATTCTGTACTACTCCCCTTCCCCCAGGATAAGAGGGTCCTTTCCTGTTAATCCCTCAAGCTACCTGGGCTACTGGACTGCTGTACCCCATCTTTCTCCTGGTTCAGCTGTTCCAGGGTTTTTCCTGGGATTGAGACTGGATTTATTTAAAAGAAAAGGAAAAATGATTGTCAAGTGTGACTGCTGTGACATACTGTGACATATTGATATCTGCAACAGTAAACAAGAAACAGTCCATGAAGGATAAATAGCATAAATTTCAACCCCATTAGATTCTCACAGTCTTTCAATTTGCCAGAAATGAGGAAGCTGCAGTGACTGGCCCAAACTCACTCACCTACCAAGTGTTAGATCTGATAGTTGTGGAAACCTTTTCCACTGTATAACAATATTAATTCTGTACAACAAAGTGAGGAACTGAGAGAAATTCATTTTAGACTGGATTCCAGAATATGCTCCAATGTGGCTGAAAAGGTTGGGGCCAGGTTTTATAGGACCTTAAAATGGAACACAAGGGTTTATATTTTATTCTAGAGGCAATAGGAAGCCATTGGCTTTGATTGAGTAGTGGAGATCAGGTTTGTGCTTAAGGAAACTAACTGTGGCAGCAGTCTGTAGAACGGACTGGTGTGGTGAAAGATATGAAGCAGAAAGACCAACTAGGAGGGCTTTGCAGTAATGTAGGCAAGACACGATGAGGGCTTTAACTAACATGGCAGCTATGTCAATTAAAAGGAGGGTTGGATACAAGAGATGTAGCTAAGGTAAAAAACAGCAAGATTAGGCAACTAATTGGGTGTGTGGGATTAGGCAGGGCAAGGAAGTGAGGAATCAAGGATAATTCTGAAATTATAAGCCTGAGGCACTGGAAGAATGGTGGTGCCTTTGGCAGGGGGAAATAGAGAAGTTTGGAAAAGGGGAAGGTTTAAGGGTAAAGATAATGAGTTCATTTTTAGACATGTTGAGTTTAAGATGTCTATCCGACAACCAGTTTGAAATATTCAATAGGCAGTTGATGATACAGGACTGAAGCACAAGGGAGAGCCTGCAGCTATGTATTGTTTGTGCTTAGTTTTGAGGAGGACCAATGACATTATAGATGATGTCTTGACTCATTTGTGAATTGAATTTAAGTGAGGCGGAATCTCACAAAGGTGTCAGCTTCATTCTCTCCTCCAGTCAAGAAGTCCAGTAGCAAGAGAAAAGTTAAGATGACTGGTAATAACCCGGGATGCATTGGAAGACCTTGGCATCTTAGATGTCTAACCAAACTCTAAGTGCTCCACAGCACCTGCTTCAGCAGCCTTCACTGGAACAAATTGTTCTCATCCGCCCATTCTGTAGGGGTAAGTCTTCATTTACTTGGGGTAGTCATCCCCCTAACTCACCAATTGGTTTGAGGCCTGTTGGTTACCCTCAACCGGCTTTAACCTGTCTGCCCAGGTGGTTTACCAGAGTACAGCCACTGAGTATGCTACAGTTTCTTGGAGCCACAAGTGAGAGTTGAGTGACAAGTGGACACCAAACGTGGATGAGTAGCCCTGAAAAGGGGTTGGCAAGCCTTCACACCAGTGTTAGTCCTTGAATACCCCATATGTCCCAGCTATGTATAGATCTAGGAGTTATCTAAAGATGATAGTTAAATGGATAGTAACTGATAAGATTACCACAAGATAGAATATATACATGAAGAAGACAAAGGCCCAAGACAGAACCCAAAGGAACATCCACAGTCAGAGGCTGTAATGTGGATAATGAGCTAATAAAGGAGACTCTGAAGTAGTCAGACAGGCAGAAGGTGAACCAAGAGAGAATGGTGTCATGAAAACCCAGAAGGGAGAGACAATCCAGGAAGAGAGGGTGGTCAATAGTGTCATTAGCAGATAGGTCAAAAAGGATTAGGATTGAGAAAAGTTTTGGCATTTAAGAGATCGCTGATAACTTTGGAAAAAGCAATTTTGATTGAGTAGTGAGATCAAAAGTAGTATCTCAAAGGGCTGAAGAGTGATTTAAGGAGAGAAGTGCAGTGAATGCAGACAACTTTTTCAGAGTTTGTCTAAGAAAGGAAGGAGAGATATAAGATAATAGCTTTAAGAGTTGGTGCTATCCAGTGAAGGGTTTTTAAAGGTGGGGGAAATTTGAGCATGTTTGAAGGGAGTAAGGAAGGAGCCAGGCAACAGGGAGAGGTTGAAGATTTGAAAGAGAGGTTGATGATTGAGGATACAGTCAACTTGAGAACATGGAAAAAGACTGGACCAAATACACATGAGGACAGCCAGGGAGGCCAGGGATGCAATCATAGGAGAGCCAGGTCCCTTTGAAAACTAATAGATAGAAAGGGTATGAAAGAATGAGATCCTGGATGAAGAATAATTTGTTCACTGTGAAATGAGAATTCCAGTAGAAAGGGTGGATGGGAATATGGGTGGGGTCATTCAGAAGGATGTGGTGATAAAGAACTTGAGATAGAGGCAGGGGACAGTTTTATCCCAAATGGCCACTGATTGATTATTGCTGGGATAAGAGTAACTGGTGAAACCATAGAGTAAAAACCCTTAGGCAACTAATTGGGTGTGTGGGATTAGGCAGGGCAAGGAAGTGAGGAATCAAGGATAATTCTGA